CGGCCCCCGATGCCGATGCCGACTCGGCGGCAGCGGCCCGCCGTGGCCTTGGGGCCAGAGGCTTCGCAGGACGCGGGCGCCGGGAGCAATGGAGGAAACAAGGTGGGGGCCTCTGGGCCCCGGCGGCCTGCGGCCTCAGCTCCCCACCCGCAAGCACCCCGCTCTTTGTTCTCAGGGTTCGGGTAGGGCAGGATATTCACGGTCAGGGATTTAGGGAGATAATCCCGACTAGGGAGTGATAATTCGCGTAATTCAGACCAGCCTCCCGCGCTCCCGCTCCCGCTCCCGAGAAGGCGGCGGCTAAGCCCTCCGACGCCCGCTTCGCCGAGGCGGGTCTGTTCATTGTTCCCTCCCGGCTCCTTGGCAGGCGGGCGGGGGTGGGGACGCCTCCAGCCCCGGGGGACGAGCAGGAGCCGGAGGCGAGGCTCCCTCCGCGCCCCGCCGGGACCAGCCTTGGCCCCATTTTGCAGACAAGAAAGGGAGGGCGCCAGGGCCAGGCCCGGCGACCGTCGCCCCCTCCCGCTGACCTCGCTGCTTGGCCGTCTCGTAGTCCGCCTTGCACACCAGCCGGCTGTCCTCCATGAGGTAGAACTCGTCGCCCGTGGCCAGCTGCCGCTTGCACACGACACAGGCGAAGCAGTGCAGGTGGTACACGAAGTCCTGGGCGCGGCGCACCACCTGCGTGGGCGGGATGCCCAGCTGGCACGCGGCGCACTTGGTCCCGAAGCGCCTGCGGGACGCACAGGGCGCGTCAGCGAGGCGCGCCGCCGGCCGCTCCTGCGCCCGGAGCGGGTGGAAGAGCCTCAGGCTCGGCCGGCGCAGGGCGGTTCCGGGAGCGAAGCCGCTGGGGCGCGGGGAAGGTGAATCCCTTAGACCCGAGACCTATGCCCGCAGGCGACCCCACCGGCATTAAGGACAAAAACAAGACCGAAACTAACAGGGAGTAACCCCAACAGAGTCCTACACACTTGGGGTTATTTTTTTATCGACTGCTTCCACAGTTTACAAAATTAATGACCTAAAAACAAAAAAAATTGTTGATGTGTTAGCGAGGCCCAGCCGCCCATGGAGAGGCCCCAGGGCGCCCTGCCTGGGTGACAGGAGGGGGTCTGGAGATGGAGGCTTCCCGGGCTCCTGGCTTGGTTATTGTGGGGAACCGGGGTCCCTCCGGGTGGCCATCCCGGCCTCCTTTCCGGGGACAGATGGCGACGCCCGCCCCGCCCCGCCCCGCCAGGCTCACTTGAAGAAGTCCTCCTTGCAGTACACGCTCTCCCCGCGGCTGAAGCAGCGCTCGGCCAGCGGCGTGTGGCAGTCACTGCACTTGAGGCACTTGCTGTGCCAGTGGCGGTCCAGGGCCTTGAGGATGAAGCGGTCCAGGATGTGCTGGTCGCAGCCCGCGCACAGCGGGATCTCTGCAAGGCGAGAAGCCGCTGCGGTCACGGGCGCTGCCCGCGCGGGAAGGATGGGAGTCGCCCTCCCGTCCCAGCCCCCAGGCCCCCTTCCCGCACATTCTCTTCCCCAAGTGTAGGGAGCGCATGGCCCCGGAGCCCACAGCCCAGCCTGCAGCTAAAATGCAGGAAAACCGAAACAGGCTGAGAAACGTGCCCGTGAGTCAGAGGGGGCCCCGGCCATCGCATTAGGCCAGATGTCGTCAACTGCAAAACGGCCCCAGTGCACAGGAAGGGCGGCGCGTCCGGCGCCGTGAAAACCCCATCCCAGGAGCCCCCTCGGAGCCGGGCTGGAAGAGGCGCCCTGACCGTCCCCTGGGGGCACATGTGGCTCGTGAGGCGCCCGCCACCCACTCGCCCTCATTACTTGACACAATTAAGCATCCCGGTGGCGAGAAAGAGACTCCTTGCACGAGTGGCCGCCCAGCACCATGGCCTTGTCTGCAGGCCACCAAGGTAAAATCCTCTGCCTTCCCCATCTTCGGGGGACCGCGGGGGTACTTCTGAGTGGGCTGGGCAAAGGGATTCGCTGTCCTCATGCTCAAGTGCGGGTGCCCGAGTGCACAGTAGGCACTTTGCCCTCCCACGAGTCCTAGTTACTCCAACACTGGGTTCTGCCCCTGGGACTGTGGCCTCAGGGGAAACCGGGCTGGGGAAAAGCTGGGGAAACTCGGGGGCCATGAGGGGCTTTTCAGAGTGCTCACGGGGTGAGGACACCCTGTTAATTCAGGAAAAGTCTCCTGTAGAGAAAAGGGCAACGCACACGAGCTGGAACCTGCACAAATATTGCACCCACCTCGCCACGCTCACCTCGCGGTCCCGGACCCCTCCAGCTCCAGGCCCCCCAGCAGGCGGTGGGAGCACCACAGAAAGATCTCCCTCGGATCGACCTCCCTTCCGCAACAGCGGGAAACCCGCGAAGGACGCGGTCCCGCATCGGGCAAAACGCGGTCCCAGGTGCGGGGCCTGGAGATCCCTGGGCGCCCCCAGGCCCACCGCGGCGGCGAGGACACCCGCGTGGAGCTGAAGGCTGGACGCGCCCTCGCTGCGCGGATTCAGCACCGCGGCCCGGACAGCGCCTCGGCCCCGCCGCCCCTCGGAGCCCGCGTCGGGCAAAAGCCGGCCCCGCGCGCCCCTCGTGCTCCCCGCGAAACCCCGGCGTTCTGGGCCTTACGCTGCATGGCGACTCCGGCCTCGGCGGGTCTCCTACCCTCCGTGCTGGCGGGGCCCAGGAGAGCCTTCCGCCCACCCGCGCGCTCCCGGCCAGCTCTCCTGAGCCGTAGGCTGCGAGCCCGCCTCCCCTCCCTCCCTCTCCCTCCGCCCGCCCACCCCTTCCTCACAGCCCCTGCGGCCAACCCCTCCCAGGAACCGTCGGAAAATAAATAAATAAGTAGGGGAGGATGAGACCCCAGAGCCCAGACGTAACCTCTTTCCCGCCTGCTCGGTTCCTGCCGGTCCCCACCGCCCAGGCCACCTCGGTCTCCATCCCGCGGTCCCGCCAGCCCAGAAGCCCGCGGGGAATGGTCTTGATTCTCTGGGAGCCAAAGTACGGGGGTGAGACTGGCGCTCCCAGAAAGTTGGGGGCTTTCCGGTGGAAGGGTCCTGAGGACCAGCCCAGAGCGAGCCGACGGAGCAGGCGGTGTGGGTGCAGACTCCCGGGACCCCGACTAGGGGTGAAATACCGATGAGGTGCAGCTCCACCCCGGCCCCTGCATCCAGCTCCTCCGCGGAGAGTATGGAGGGTCTGGACAGCCTCCTGCCCTGTGGTCACTGGGCCCCACGGTGCTCTCTGCATACTCTGGGTCAAAGAGCGTGTTCCTGACAAGCCCTGGGACTCCGAGAGCTCCTGGCCTGCCCGGCGCCGCCACCACCACAGACCCGACATCACAGCTCAAAGCCCCACGCAAACTTGGTGTTGGGGTGCCCAGGCGGGACGTCCTGGGGCTCTTGCACCCACCCCCGCCCGGGGCCCACGGGTCCCGAGGCCAGGCCGGGACAGGAGCGAGGACCTCCGGGTCTCCCAGTGGTGCGCCCTCCCTGGTGCAGCCGCTCATCCCGAGCACCCACCTCGGCGCAAGTCCTCCCTCCGCGCCAGCAGCGCCAGCAGCAGGTCGCCGCCCGCGGACGCCCGGGAGTCCAGTTAACGATTTGCTGCTAGTATTGATGAGCACCTTAGGTCCGAATCTGCACTCCCAGTGCTCTAGACAATGTAACTAGGATACTATCTAGTAATTGCTATCATTCATATTGGATTTGAGCATGTTCTGATCGACATGGTTCGTACCCCCGTGTAACTGAATGCCCTGCCGGAATGAACGCTGCTTTCTTGAATATGCGACCTGTTTGCTGTGTCAGAGAAGTTTGAGGACATTCTGGACATTTCCACGGTGCTGCAACTTACTGACGGTCCTCATTGCTCAGGCACTTTCTAAAAGAGCGGCGGCTCTCTCCAGGGCCCCGCAGCTCCCTGCCTCCGCGTCCCCAGCGCGGGCTGAGGCCTGGACTGGAGCGAGCGCGCGCGGGTAGGCTGTGGGTCCTGGGAGGAGGGCCGGGGAGGGAGCTGGGTCCTTCGCTGCTGAGGCTCTGCTCAAGAGATAGAGCTGGGAGATGTGGTGACGTCTGGTCGGCACAAACGCCACCCACCCAAGACCCAGAGATGGCAAGTGTGGCACCCAAGGGCTCAGAGCAAAGCGACCAGGAGCCGTTGGCAACCTCAGACCTCCCAGCCTGACCAGCTCCTGAACTCCACCCATGGAACTTGCCCTCTGAGCGGGCAGGGCGCAGGGAAGAAGGGCCATCCTAGGGAGAGAACGCCAGTGTCCTCCGCCCACACAACAGCCCAGACTCCGGGTCAGGACAGAGCTGGGGAAGCCAGGACCTACCCTCCTGCCCCAACCAGCACCCTAGCTTGCACAGAACACGACCCCCGCGCCTGATTTTCCAACATCCCGCCCCAATCAGAACAGGGAACCTGCAGGAACCCAGCCATCCTTGCATGTAGAGACGCACCTACCCCAGTGTAGCTGCTCCTGCCCAGAGGGCACACCACGCCTGGCCACAGGCCAGCGCCAGCCCCCTACAGTTACCCACAGCCAGGACACAGCAGTGTGGGGCACAGAGAGAGCAGGGACCCCCCCAGGAAGTGCTGGAGCCTGGCAGGTCCCTCCAGCCGGGAGTCCCATGGTTACGCCCGCCTTCCCCGCCTCCTCCTCCTCCTGGCTTCCGAGCCTGGCTTAGTTTTGAGCAAAGGCCCATGCAGCCTTTCACCTTGTTGCACACTCGTCACCCAAAGGACAGGGCATGGGAGCACGAGCCAGGAGCCAGTGGGTGCTGAGTGCTGAGTGTCAGCTGCTGCGGAGGCCTGCCGGAGAGGGGCCATGTGCGATCGGACTGGGAAGGGACGGGCGGGCAGCGGGTGGAGGCTGCGGCGGCCCCACGCGCTGGGCATCTGGCCGGCCCACCAACAATGCCTCCATTATCTCTCAACGTCCGTGGCGATCAAATGGCCTTGGGGGAGGGCGGTTCAGGCGGGAGACCCAGCCCAGGGGTCCAGGTGCTGCTCACTGGTGGGGCCGTTGGGCAGTCGGGCTGGGCCGAGCGGGAGCTGAAGGTGCAGTCGCTGGGGGAACTTGGCGCCCCTCGCTCGGCTCCATCCCTCTGCCCAGCCTCTCCCGTGAGGCCCTTTCTGTTCTCAGGCGCTCTGCTGTGCAGCAAGCCAGCCGCACACGCACACGGGTCGAGGCCCGGATCCAGCCGCCGAACCGCGGCAGGCAGCTCCAGGCGCTGGGCGCCTTCCCTGACCCCACGCCGCCCGTCTGGCTCGGCCCGCCCGCGGTCTCAGATTTCCTGTCCCTCTCTCCCTCCATGCGCTGTGCCCTTTCCTCCCAGGCACCCCTCGCCTGCCTCTGCCGCCCTTGCTGGGTCTCCCCTCAGGGCCCTCCTGCTCAGGCTGGAGGCCGGGAGCGCCAGGGTCTTACCGTGAGTCCCGCGGAAGGTGCAGACGGCGTCGGCCGCGGAGGCCCCGGGCCTATCTCCGTTGTGCTCGAGCTCTGTTTCCAGCAGCATCGCTGCCACTGGGCCAGGGCGGCCGGGGAGAGGGCCGGAGCGGCGTGGGCCGAGCCCCTTCCTCCTCCTCCGAGACCCCAGGGCGGGTTTAGAGCACTCCAAGGCCTGCGTCCCTGTCAGTGCGGCGGGACCAGGGAGCCTCTGGGCCAGGGCGCTGTCCGCGGTGCTGAAGGAGGCGTGTGCGCAGCAGC